GGCCACGGATGTAAGCCGCCAACCATCGGATCAGGCCAGTCGGGACGTTCAGAGAGACCAAGCCTTGCAGGAGCTGATCGTGGCGGACGCAATGGAAGGCGCCTGACAGGTTAGTTGAGACTGCCACGGTCCGCGAAGGAGGCTTCTGTTGATTGAAGCAGCTTGTTGATTTTCCTGGCTAGAACAGGTATATGGTTACTCCCCTGTGTCAGGGCCACCACCCCCTTCCCAAGCAGGCTGATAATTGCTACTTTAATCACTATTTTATTAGTTCAATTGGTTTCATGTCTCACGAGCGCAAGTTTATAAGGAACTTGCGCGGGCATCACCTTGGTAGTGGATGATCTTTAAACTCTAGTTGAATAAATACAATATGCATTTCTGCAAATACTCCCATTCTTAAGTTGAGAAGTCAAGTTGGCAAACATATTTTTTCAGCAAGTCATCATCAGGCCAGAACGTTTGCAGGGTAATTAAAACTGTACAGTTGGACAGGGTTCAATAGTATAGTCTAATTAGTGTATTACCGGCAAACGTTAGGGAGTGCTAAATACGCTTATTTCTGGCTTATTGGCCGTCATCGGCTGCACCTACCCAATTCCAGTATAGCCACAGAAACTGCCGCTACACTCGAGTTCCGAACCCGCGACCTGTGAGCTAGAGACGAATGTCCTATCCACTGAGCCAACGGGTCGACGTCTTTGCCGGTTATCGATCGGTATATAGATTAGTACATAGGTGTACACCGATCTCGTCCAGGATTCACCAACCCTGGCTGTTTCGCCTGGCGATGACTGGACACCTCCAGCTTATTTTCTCAAGGACGAGTATAGTCTAAGTATAGTCTAATTACAATTCATCGTTTACGCGTCGGCCGCATGGCGAGGTCGGCGTGAAGAGGTTCTTGCGTTGGGAGAGGGGGGAGGGGTAGGGGAGGTAATTGGGTTAGATTGTGGGGGTTGATCAGAGGACAGATACATGGAGGGATAATTGCTGTTATTTGCGCGATTCTTCTCACGACACAGCACCGGATTCGCTAGCCGTATAGCCACTGCTTCGGCTGTTGCAAGCACCCGTTAGCA